TAAAAGAGGACTTCACATGCTTTTCTCTAGCACAGGCATCACAAACTTTCTGTACTTTGAACTTTGACATGGGCAGACCATGGACCAGGTCCTTCTGAATTAGTTTGTTCAGAAGAGAGAAGCTTGTGTGCCCCAATCTTCTGTGCCAGAGTTTAGCATCATCATCAACAGCTTTCAGACAACTCAAATCACCATTTTGTATAGACTCGAAATCAGCAACATAGATGTTCTTGTATCGCTTAGCCACAAGTACCACTTCACCAGTTACCAGATTAGTAACTGTACATATCTTGGACAAGAACTCCACCTTGTTTCCTTTATCACAGATTTGAGAAACATTCAAGAGACTGTACTTAAGGCCATTGACATAGTACACATTCTCAATAGAGTGAGTGAGGGATTTCCCGACTTTTCCAACTCCAAGAATGTACCCCTTTTTCCCATTGCCAAAGGATACACTCCCTCCTTGCAGGGCTTTTAGTGAAAGAAATTCCATGGTGTTCCCAGTCATGTGCTTTGAACATCCACTATCCATGAACCATTGTTGACTGCTTCCTTTCACTGTTCCCTGCACAAGGAGATGAAGAGTTAGTTTTAGGAACCCAAGCAAGTTTGGGTCCCTTGTAGTAGGCAAGAGGATGAACAAGAGCTATCTTAGTCCATGCAGGTAATATGCGTTTTTTGTGGGTGGAACCTGGTCCCCTTTTAGTAGTTACATTTTCAGCAAACACTTTATTTTTCTGAACGGACTGGACGCTGGCTTGGCAATTTTCCTTGAAATGTCCATCGTTACCACAGTGGGTACACAACCAGTTATCTGGTACAGTAACGTACTTGCTATGGGGGTTGTAAGGAGTTTTCTCCCTTTGGAACCCTATTCCCTACCTGTTTCCACCATTATTAACGTACATGGCAGTGATAGCTTCTGAGGACCAGGTCCACTTTAGGGACTTTTCAAGATCATTTTTTATTCTTTCCAGTTCAGTCTGGAGATGCTTGTTTTTCTCAGATTCAACACACAGACTAGTTCTCACGGTCTTCAACTCATTTTCAAGCCTAATGTGTTCCTCACTTGCTACCTCTTTTCCTTTTCCAGAATTTCCAGGTTTTGACTCAGTCCCTAGTCCTTCTATTGTTTCCCTTAGGTCTGCAATCACTACCAAGAGATCATCTCTTTCTTCCTCAATCTCAGTCACTCTTTTCATCAAGGCTTCTCTTTCTTTTCTAAAGTTTTCAATAGTTTCCTTATGGTCAACAACTACAACCAATAAGTCATCTCTTTCAGTTTCTATGTCAGCAATTATTTTGGTTAAAATAAATTTTTCTTTCTCCAGCCCACAAATGGTTTCCTTCAGGTCAACTACACACACTACCAGATCATCTCTGGTTTGTTCAGCTTCTCCTAGCTCTAAGGTCAAAGAATCCTTATCCTCCATAAGACTATGATAGGCATCAATCAATACACTAAGACATGAGTTTCTTAGGAGAGCAGGACTTCTGATTTCTCTGAACATCCCTGAAATTTACGTCACTGTTGTCATCGTCTTCATCATCATCTGATTGGGCCATCAAAGCAAATATTGAATCATATTCATTTTCCTTACTTTCAACTGCCATCATGGAGCTGTCACCTGTATCAGTTTCATCTTCAGGCTCACTAGAGGAGTCTCCCCATGCTGCAAGAGCCTGTTTCACCACATTATCAACAGATCTCTTCCTCTTGAAGTCCTTGTCAGGCATCGGGTTCCTCTTAGCTACTTTTTCAGGGTTCTAATTGGAGTACTCTTGCCTCAGGAGAGGGCAGTCTTTGATGAAGTGCCCAGGCTTTCCACATTTATGGCAGAGATCATAGTTCTTTGGTTTGCTAGAGCTTCCCCTTTTCAGTATTCCTCCATTTCTTCTTACCATCTTCTGAAATCTTTTGGTTAAGTAAGCCATGTCACTGTCCTCCTCACTCGAGTCATTGCTATCAGCTTTGAATACCAGGTTCTTTTCTTTCTTTGGTTCTCTTCTTTCACTGTCTATCTTCCTCTTCATCTCATAGGTCTTCAGATTCCAACCAGCTCGTCTACGGTCAGCTCCTACAGGTCCTTTGCTTCAGTAATAGCATTCACCTTGCTTTCCCAAGAACTGGGCAATATACTGAGAATTTTCCTCACTAGCTTGTTCCTAGGAATGGTTTCACCAAGTGAGTGTAACTCAATGATGATGGAGGTGAATCTTGTGTGCATATCTTGAATAGATTCATCATCCTTCATCCTAAAGAGTTCATAATCGGTAGTGAGCACATCAATATTAGATTGCTTTACTTGAGTAGTTCCCTCATGTGCTGTTTGTAGAGCTTCCCATATCTCCTTTGCAGTTGCACAAGCAGAAATTCTATTGTATTCATCAGGTCTTATTCCACATACCAAAATATTTTTGGCAAGAAAATTCTTCTCCACGGCTTTCCTGTCTGCGTTGGTATATTCTTTTCTGGTTTTTGTCATTGAGAATGGAAGTTCTGCAAGTGCCTTTGTTGGGATGTAAGGACCATCACATATGACATCCCACAACTCAGAATCCTCAGCCATGATAAAATCATGCATTCTTGTCTTCCACTACCCATAGTATTGCCCATTGAACCTAGGTGGTCTGTATGTAGAGTGACCTTCTTCAAAATTTGGTGGAGCAGTCATACGGATCCTTCCTAGGTGTTAGCCTGATAGGAGGAACCTGCTCTGATACCAATTGTTAGTTTATATGGATCCACCAAACTATAGAGTACCTGGTCCTCTATGAGTTTCCACTGAGAATACTAATGAAGCAGTAAGTAAATGAGACACGGGATTTTTACGTGGAAAAATCCTACTCAAGGGGACAAAAACCACGACCTACACTTGTAGGCTTTCAACTTCACTAACTTGCAATCACACTATTACAAGCCACTTTGTAATGACTCTATTACAAAGACTTCAACTCAACTAACTAGTGATATACTTACCACAAGCCACTTTGTCACTCACTAGTTACAAAGACTTCAACTCAAAGACTTCAACTCAACTAACTTATGATACACTTACCACAAGCCACTTTGTCACTCACTAGTTACAAAGACTTCAACTCAACTAACTTTTGATACATTTACCACAAGCCACTTTGTCACTCACTAGTTACAAAGACTTTAACTTATGACTAACTCTAGTCACAACACAAACTCAGAAAGTTTATGATTTTACAAAGGGGTTCCTAAGCAACGCTTCTACCTAAGCAATTTAGGAATTAAAATAAGAACAATCACAAAGTTACAACTCAACTAAGGACAACAAAATAGTCGATTTAGGAACTGGTCCGTAGTAGCGTTTAACTTTGTTCTTCAAGCTCTTGAGAGATAAGTTCATTGTTTGCAGAAGACTTGAATACTTGAAGTGAATACCAAGTGTTCAAGTGATGTTTTTGTTATAATGCTCTTGTTGATACACCCTTTATGACATCACTTGAATGATGTAAGCACTTGGTAGGTCAAAGGAAAGTGACTACAGAACTACTGCACCGTGTGCACTATTTTTGAGGCAGTCACTTTCCAGTTGTGCACAGTTGACTTTTGTACTACTGTCAGGGACACACAAGGAATCAGGTCCTTGACTTGTTTCTCTATTTTCTACACTTGCAGCAGTTCACATTAGCTCGAGTCCTGGCTGGAATCCGTTCATTTGTAATGTCTACCAAGTGTGTCAGGTTCCCTATCTGGTTCTTGACAGTAAGTTTGTTAGATCATCAAAACATAAGTCAAAGACATTGAAACCCCATCACAAACAATCTCAGCCACTGTTGAAGCAATACTCCTATATTCTGCTTCAGCATAACTTCTGGAAACTGTTGATTGTTTCTTGGACTTCCATGAAATAAGGGAATCACCAAACTTCACTAGATAACCTGTTATTGACCTCCTACTGTTGGGGCAAGCTGCCCAATCAGCATCACAGAAAGCTGCTAGTGAGCCAGAACAGTCAGCTTTCATCAACACCCCCAAGCCAAGACAGGTTTTGATATATGTCACAATCCTGAGAGCAGTATCCATATGAGAAGATTTAGGACTGTGTATAAACTGACTCAGTGTTTGAACTGCAAATGAGATGTCCGGCCTAGTGATTGTTAAGTATAGCATCCTTCCAAGTAATCTTTGGTATAGTCCTGAATCCTCTAATAGAGCATCATCATCTGTAGAGTTTGTGTGTGTATCAAACTCCAATGTGGCCAGCGTGGCATTCAATTCCAAATGTGAACTCATAGGTTTAGAACCTGATAAGCCCAGATCATCAATTAACTCCAGGCTATACTTCCTTTGATGCATCCAGATCCCTTCTTTATTTCTGGCAAATTCAATTCCCAGTAAATACTTTAGCACTCCCAAATCTTTGATTTCGAAGCTATCCTGCAACTGTGATTTAGTCTCCTGTATCAGCTCCAAGCTATCTCCAGTGATGATGAGATCATCTACATACACAATAACCACCATAAGCTGCCCTGAAGATTTTTTGGTGAATAAGGAATAGTCTAGATGGCTTTGTTGAAATCCTGATGCAAGTAGTGCTGCAGTGAGTTTGATATTCCATTGCCGAGATGATTGCTTGAGTCCATAGAGTGACTTATGCAATTTACATACTAGTGATTTGTTGTTACATCCCACAAAACCAAGTGGAATACACATGAATACCTCTTCAGCTAAATCACCTTGAAGAAAAGCATTGTACACATCCATTTGATGGATGGTCCAATGCTTGGCAGCAGCTAAGGCAATCACACTCCTGACTGTCACCATTGTCACTACTGGTGAAAAGGTTTCCTGGTAATCCAACCCCTCCTTCTGATTATATCCTTTGGCTACAAGTTGTGCCTTAAACCTCTCAACCTCTCCAATCGCGTTGTACTTGATTTTGTACCCAATTGCACCCTATAGCTCTCTTCCCAGGAGGCAGTGGTACTATCTCCCACGTTTTGTTATCCTCAAGTGCCTTTATTTATGCCTGCATAGCCTCAATCCACCTCTTATCCTTTGCAGCTTCATAGTAGCTATTAGGTTCCTGTTCTGAAGAGAATTGAGATAAGTAACTTTGATACTTGGGTGACAGTTGATCATAGCCTATGACAGCAGCTATTGGATATCTGCAACTGTTACTTTGTGTACCTTTGTCAGCTGTTACATAATCCTTGAGCCAAATGGGAGGTTTAGAAGTTCTGCTTGACTTTCTAGCAACCTCAACAGGTGGTATACTCAATTCTGGAACTGTAGTTGGCACAGAAATTGGGGGATTTGATGTCGGAGGGATTGAAGTGGATATTGAATGGGTTAGAGAAGTCTCTTAATGTCCATGATCTGAGTTGAGCACTGGGGAACTCTCTGGAGTAGGAACAATGGATGAATCTGTAGCAGGAGCTTATGTAGAATGTGGATAACACTCATGATCTGCAGTACTATGATCATAGAGTGTTCTCATATTCAAATCATCTAGGAAGGATTGGTCAGTTCCCTCCTTTGGATTCTGGAAAGGAAAAGCATCTTCAAAGAAGGTTACATCTCTGCTGATGAAATATACATTGTGCTCAAGGTCATGAAGTTTATATCCTTTCTGGAGTGCTGCATACCCCAATAGCACACACTTCACAGTTCGAGGCCCAAACTTATCAGTTTTAGGCAATAATGAAGCAAAGCATAAGCACCCTATGATCCTTAAATGAGATTGAGAAAGCTGTCTGTGATACAACAATTCAAAAGGTGACTTGTTACCAAGCACAGTGGATGGCACTCTATTGATAATATACACAGCTGGCTCTGATACCATGATAAATGGACCTTGGGCCTAACTCAACCCCAAAAGCTAGCTTGTAGATGACCCTGGAATCTGATAGCCCTTGCAATCTCCAAAATGTATCTGTGTCTTCTTTCTACTACCCCATTCTGCTGAGGTGTGTAAGGAAATGAACTTTGGTGTAAGATCCCATGTAGCTGAAACAGTTCGCTATAGTGAGTATTGAAAAACTCACTCCCATTATCTGACCTGAACATTTTAACAGACTTGCCAAATTGAGTTTTAACAATAGCAAGAAAATTCCTAAGAATGAAAACTATATCAGATTTCAGTCTTAACAGAAAAGTCCAAGTCCATCTAGTGTAATCATCCACTAATGTAAGAAAAAGCTTTATTCCATTATAGGTAGCAACCTTGTAAGGTCCCCAAACATCCATATGAATTTGTTGAAAAGCTTCAATACTTCTAGTAGCATTTACTGGAAAAGTCCTTCTAGTTTGCCTTGCCAAAGGGCAAATCTCACATCTATGGGCATTATTGAAATCTAAACTATTTTTGAAACATTGTAGTTTCTTAATAACTGGTATAGGCACATGCCCCATTCTCTTGTGCCATATATCTGGATCTCCTTGCTTCAACACTGTAAAGGCTTTGTGAGAATACATCCTTTTGTGTGACTCCACTGATATCATGGTGTATAGCCCATCTTCTTCCCTACCAATCTCCTTCACCCTCCCAGACAAGAGGTCCTGAAAGACACAAAATGTGGGAAAGAAGGAAGCAAAACAGTTCAGATCTTTTGTCACCTTGGAGACAGACAAAAGATTGAACCTGAAGGCAGGAACACATAAGACATTCTTAATAGTGTCACCTCCTGACAATTGACAATCTCCTATGTGTGTAATTTTGGGAGAATCTCCGGTTGGTAGTTGAACATGTCCTGCATTTTCTGTTTGTGTTCCATTGTGCAGTAAATCTTTATCCTATCATATGGTTTGTAGCTCCTGTATCTACAATCCACTCAGGAATACTAATGTTATTATAAAGAAAAGTACATGCCATAGCTGCTATATTACCACTGGATTCACCAATTGAGCTTTTGTTCAATAGTAGCAAAATCTGAGAATACTGTTCATTTGTGGACTTATGTGTTGGAGCTCCTTTGTGTACCTCCTGTGAGATATTGCTTTCTACTTTTGCTGCAACGTTAGCTCTTCTCTTAGGTTTAAAATCAGATGGATAGCCCACTATTTTGTAGCAATTCTCCTTCGAATGGCCTAATTTGTTACAGAACTCACACTTCATCAACCTGTAGCAGCTTGCTCTCGTGTGCCCCTTCTGGTGGCAAAATTCACATTCTATGCCAAAATTCCTCTTTGTCCTATTCCCCTGATTGTGACATAAACATAGCAGTAGGCTCTACTTGTCCTGTATGAGTGTTGAAATGGTTACTTGAAATTGTTCTTCTGCTTTCATCTTGGACTATCATAGCGTATGCTTGGTTAATAGAAGGAACATTAGGCATCATCAAAATCTGACTTCTAGCTTGCTCAAAACTATCATTAACCCCATTAAGAATTGTAGCAATCTCTGAAACTCCAACTGTTCAACATAATCCTTAACAAGAGGTGGTGGTAATATTGCATCATACTCTGCCCATAGATCTGTTAATTTCGTAAAGTAAACTGAAACGGATGAAATCCCCTATGTTGAAGTAAAAATTTCTTTGTGCAAGTAGTAAAGTCTCGAAGCATTTACTTTGTCAAATCGTTCCTTAAGTCGTGCCCAAACAGTTTGAGCGTTTTCTGAGAACAAAACACCAGTAAGGAGATATGAATTAACGTTGCTCATCAGCCACGAAGTAACAATAGCGTTGCAACGATCCCACTGATGAGCTAATCCGGATCCAAAATCACCTTTTGAGGTGGTACCGTCTACCAAACATAATTTGTTCTTTCCTAAGAGAGCTACTTTCATAGCTCGACTCCATAACGTGTAATTTTCCATTCCGGTTAACAACAAACAAATTGACAACGAACCTGGTCCATCGGATGGATGCAGATAGAGTGGGTAATTGTGATCGAGAATAGGACCGATCGGTGTCGCATTGGTGCTATCCCCTGAATTATCGTCAATTGCCATGTATATTATAGAAATTCACTCGCAATTACTCAATCGAATCAAAAAATTAGGGTTTCGATCACGAAAACCTCGTTTCTGATTTTGACAGAGATTGAAGAAACAAAAATGAACAGAATGAAAAAGATATGAGCTGATTCTGTCGATTTGCTTCGACTTAGCAAAGAAATCCCTAGAATCAATCAGTAATCTGCTCTGATACCATGTTGAATTTGTGAATCGAAGCTGAATCTTAGACTAAGAAATGAGAGAAGAAATTGGGGAAGAAGAAAGCTCACCTTCATTATCGAAAAATAATCGACTTCGTACAGTGTTAACCACTCCTTATATACTAATACAGTTGGACTAACTAATTGCTAACTATAGCTAGTTAAACTATGATTAGACTAAACTCTAGTTATCTTAAGTTACTTCACTACCCAATGCATTCATACTCTCAACATGAACAAGGGTTTTTGATTGTCAAAATCTTGAAAACCTTCTACCTTAGAATTTACAGTAGAATGTTTATTCAGACTAGTAGGTGGTACAAATATTACCAAAACAAAATATAAAGGGAAACACCAAAAGAAGCAAAAAAAATCAGCCTATGTTGCACGCTGCATTAATCTTGAGTTTCTTTTTTTATTTACTCTTTCATCTTTTAATAAGATGGAATTATGAAAGTTCGTAATACCAATTTTCGCCCAAGTTTGAACAATAAACATCATATAGGAGCAAAATAGTTACCCCAATTTTGATATTTTCACTTTCGAGATTGATAAAAATATACGAGCAATAGATATATCAGTATTGATCTTTTCACTTTTAAGATTAGAAAATGATCACACACTATCAGTGCATTGACAAAGCTGACCCTAAATGACATTATGATTGAGGTGTCAGTTAGATTCGTTCTTTATGATTTTCGAAAATTGACCAAAAAGGAGTAATTTGGTGTACAAAATATTACGCATTCATTTAGAGCCCGTTTGGACATAAAATATATTTTCCTTTTTTCCAAAAAAAGATTCACTTTTTTTCGAAATCAGCGTTTGTTCATAAATTTTCAAATTTTCACTTAAAGATGTCTTTTGAAAATTTTCGAAAATTTGAAAAACTCCAAAAAACTGTTTTTCAAAATTTTCATTCTAATCACTCACAAAACTTCCAAAACAACCCCAAATTATATTCATGTCCAAACAGAAATCTAAATTCCAAATACCATTTTCACTTGAAAAGAAATTTCACCATGCTTTGGAATTTTACAATTCTTATGTCCAGACGCCCACATAGAGTCGGAAAGGGCCATACCCCTAAGGGTAGACAGCCTACCCTAATACAATGAACCCGGATTCTCCGAAATTGACCAAATTAATTATTTGTGGAAGGAAAATAAAGTCTAATTGTGGGAGCCTCATTATTGCATTAGCTCTTACGACTAACTACTATATTAGAGTCTACAAATTTATTTGTTTTCTAATTATGCAGCCTAATAAATTTTTATCCCACTTTTTAATGTACTTCTCGGACGTGGAACTTATCCAGTCCCTCTACTGATCTTTTCCTAATTAGTTTCTTCTTATCTAATAGCCTCCTCCTTAAATAACAGCAAAAGAAATTAAACCAACATTTTCACTGAGTTCTCTGTTCCTTTTTTTCTCTGCTTTCATTTTTTTTTTTTTTACTATAATTTTTTTAAAAAAATTACTGTACGAATTCAAGCCTCAAAATGGACAGCTTTGAAACCAAAACTAATCACGACCCTCCTCTCAAAAATCAGAGAGTTATGTTAATCCTCCAAATTTTGTTAAGAATTTTGGCTTTTGCTTTCACTTTAGGTGCAGCATTGAGAATTATGACTAGCAAACAGGTTTTGTTTCTTGGATTTGATGCCCGTTACACCTATTCTCCTTCTATGAAGTAAGTCATAATTAAAAATATTAATTACCCTTTTGGATTGAAATATATATTTATGGTTATAGCAAATTTGAATGATTCTTTCTTTAATTTTCCCCTCTATTTTGCAGATTTTTTGCATTTTCAAATATCATTGGATGTGCCACATCTGTTGTTTCTCTATTTCTTGTTTTAATGAGTTGTCAAAAACCTCGCGATTCCAACAAGTATTTTTACTTGTTCCTGAATGATTTGGTACGTCCCCTCTTCATTATTCCCCTTAATTTGTAATATTTTTTTTCCTTTAATTTCTGTCTGATCCTTCAATTACAAATTCCTTTATACAAAATCTCGGGAAAATATTTGTATCTTTCTATCTTTTTGTTACTGTAAGTTACATGCATAATATCTAGGGAAAAGCTTAAAAGGCGTTAATATAAATAAGACACCTAAGATCTCCGACTGTCAGATTTAAAAGATGAGATAAATATTAAATTTCAATAGGGATTTTTAGTCAAATAGCCGGCCAAATTCACTATTACTTTTTCTAGCAGGTGTACACAAGTTATACATTGAATATATACGGTTATACACATATTATTTATGAATTATACAGACGTTATATATCCGTCGGTTATTTTTAATTTAAGTGGTTGAATAGGCGGCTATTTAGGTTAATTCATTTATATAACTTAAAATGGATGGGTTTCATTTTTCAACTTTTTGTTTGAACTAAATTGTTGACAGATTACGTTAGGAGGACTGGTGGCTGGAAGTGCAGCAGCAACAGCAATAGGATATGTGGGTAAATATGGGCAGAAGCATTCTGGCTGGGAGCCAATCTGTGTCTTTGTTACTAAGTTCTGTCACAAAGTTACTGTCAGTTTGACATTATCTTACATTGCCATTATTATCTGCCTTTGCCTCACTATAATCTCGGCACACCAATCAAGACAGATTAAAGCTTAAAAATGTATCATCAAAACAAACAATGATTAACTATTTCAACATTTCATCGTTAAATGTGCGTAGTTGGGTATTTGCAGGTGAAGAATATTAAATGTAATATGCATGGAGATACTGGTGTTTTGAGATAAATGGAATAAAGTCTTTCATTCTAATTCTGTATAAAGTTTCTTCATATTTTTTTCAAAATCTATTAGAAGTGTTTTACAAGGCAAAAGTGTTCAGCGTTTTACCTCTCATGGAACGATTAATTTTATGCTATTTGACAATTCAAAAAAAATTAAAAATTATTTACGCCTTATACATTTGAGCAAAAACAATAATGTTGGTATTTCCTACTGGACCGTAATGACTTGATGCCATATCTGTTGATTGAAAGAGAAATATCATGTCCATATTTGTTAGAACTAAATCGAAGACATCAAACTCCTTAGGCCCAACCTAAATTAAGACATCAAACTCCTTAAGCCCAAGCTGAATCAAGATTTCAAGCTCCATAGGCCCAAGCTAAATCAGGAAGAAATTCAAAAATAGCCAGATTTACAAGTGGTCATTGAAAAATAACCACAGTTTCAAAAGTAACCGAAATTTAGCCATTTTTCATATAAAGATAAATCTGAACGAAAACATTGTTCAAACTTCAGAAAATATTCCAGCATAATATACTGGAGTTCAAGTATACTATACCGGTCCAACATAATATGTTGGAAGTTCATGCACAGGTGCAATCTCCAGTATATTATGCTATAACTTTTCGTGTTGCAGCAAACTAATGGCTATTTTTTCAATAACCAGTCCGAAAACTGGCTATTTTAACGGACTTCAAGCTCCATAGGCCCAAGCTAAAGCAAGACATCAAGCTTCGTAGGCCCTTGTTGTTGGGCCTTGTTTAGAAGATTTAATCCAAATAGCTGCCCACCTAATCTCTTATATTTGAAATAGGCGAATGATGTATAATATATGTATAATTCATGAAAATATATGTATAACTATGTGTAATCAATGTATAATCTATGTATAACGTCTAGAAAAATTAAACATTAAATCTAGTTGACTATTTGTATAGTAATATTATAAGCTTCATCATCTCTAGCAACAGGATCGTTTGGTTACCGGCTGAAATAAACAAGACTATCCCATGGTCTAGGATATTCCATGAGATTAGCTATTCCACCTTCTAAATGGGATAGTTAGTCCCAATATATTGGTATAAAATTTGTCCAAACACTAGCTAATACATATAACTAAACATGAGATAAATACAAACTCTTTTTTTATTCCGGGATTTATATCTTTATCGCCAAACGACCCAAAGAGAAGGCTGAGGAGATTTACTTTCCATGCATGTCAAGATATATCAACCAAATGTTAAGCTGTGTGAAATCCTGGAAGGTTACCTGAGGAATGTTCTCAAAGTCTTATCGTGTATATCTGTTTAACCAAAAAATGGAATTTTAGTCAAAGCTAGAATTTAGAAGAACTCGGGTTACTGATAATCAAAGAAATGAATAGAAGGAAATAATTCTAAGTAGCAATATAATAATCAAGAAAAACGAATGATACCAGTGTATATTTCAATAGTCTTTTGTGTCCCCTACAACTGATCATATATCTCCTTTTTATAAGTACTTTTGAGATTGTACGTTATGCCCAAATCATAATGAGGTTATTATGAATAATTAAAGACATTAAATGCTATGTTACACAATCATTACATTGAATATATATATTCCTTGACGGACTCAGCATTTAATACCCATTAAATGTTGTATCTTCACACTTTTTATAACCAGATTCATTCCTTCTAATGCCCGGATATAAATGATTTAAGTAGGTACGAGCACCGTACTACTTATCTGATGTCCCGTGCCTCTTCCTCCTTCCTTGCTCGTGTCTGTTTTACAACTCTTGTATCGTGCCTAATTACGATTCATTGACCATCTGACCAATACACGTGTACTGACACGTCACCTTATATGTAAAATACAACTTTTTCCCCCAAATACCAGAT